AATTTTTCCCTCTCTCTGATTTGCTTAAACATGTATCTGTTTGCTAGCCCTGTTTTATTTGGAAACATTTATTTATGAGGAATTTATAAGCTATTCTTATTAAAGAAAACCTGGCAGATAATTGTTTTACACTAGAGTGGATTATATCCCAAGGGAAAATCATTTTTAATATAATAGCATGCTAATATCAATATTTTTGAGATCTCATTTCAGAATTTTGATTTTAATTCATTAGTTTTATGTAACAGTGTGTATTTCTTAAGCTACCCATTAAAACTTTAAGTGGTTAAATAAATGAGAATGAGGGAAGAACGAAAGGTGCTATATCATTGCACAGCTTCAAAGATTTTGAGTGACTTAGAAGACTAAGTCTCTTAGGGACAAAAATTACATACAGAAGTCACATAAATATTCATTAAACCCCCAATGATATTACCCATGATATAATACAATATAAATTTGTTACATTTTATATGTTGGAAACCTTAAGAATATTGCCTTTAAATTATAAACTTCCTAACCAAGAGGAAAGACAAAGAGTTACTCATGAAAAGTTAGAAACAAACATAAAAAGAAGATCCAAAAAGAGGGAAATGTTTTGTGGGGATTTGTTAAACAAGATTAAGAAATAATCGTTCTTCTTCTAAAATTTTATGCTCTAGTGCCTTAAATTTAGGAGATTTTCAGAGTTCCCTATCATTCATTTGACATCTGGATTCCTTTGCATCACTGGAATCTGGGTTTTCTCATAACTGCAATGTCAAAAAATGTCAGAAATCCCACAAAAGTCCTGGTCAAAAGACTGGTCATATATAAATAGCCAAGAGAAAATCTTGATATAAATACTCTTGCTCCTGGTAATTTTCTTGAGGTTGTACATTGTCAAACTTATTACTGGCTTATTAATGGAACTGGAAAACTAGGGTACTGGTGGAGGAGCTGATGGAAAAAAAGCTTAACATACTGTGGAATGCAGAACAAACTATGTGGGCTTTAGAACAAACCTCAACAATATTAAAATAATCGAAAACACAGATGTGTTCAACTATAATGGATCCGAACTAGACACTAATAACAAAAGCCAACAGGAAATTCTGTAAATACACAGAAACTAAACAATATATTTCTAAAGAATTCATCAAAGAAGGAACCTCATAGGGAAGTGAAAACATGCATTAAACTGAGAGAAAGAAAAGACAGTGAAGAACGTTTCTGGCTCTTCTGGCAAGGGAGTGCTTGCTTTAACTGGAGTATTTGAATTGCTCTCACAAGCACTGTAGGTTCCTTCTGGTTTGTGGGGTCTATGCCACTGACCAGACTGAAGGGGCCCCTCACCTTTATTTTATTTATTTAAAAGAAAATATTTATGTATTTACTTGGCTGCACTGGGTCTTAGTTGCACCTTCACTGCAGCATGGGAACTCTTAGTTGCAGTGTGTAGATCTAGTTCCCCAACAAGGGATCAAATCCAGACCCCTTGCAGTGAGAGCCTGGTGTCTTTCGTCCCTGGACTGCTAGGGAAGTCCCATCCCTCACCTTTAAAACACGGAAATCTCAGCTTTCCTTCAAGACCACCTTGTTCTTATCTCTGCTGCCCTGACAACTGTGCTTTGTATTGGAATAATTCAAATCCACTGGTAAATTTCTGCAGCCCAGATCGTTAAAGGTCCACATTTTAACGTTTTAACCTATGTTGTTATTACTTCAGAAGATAAAATATTATGCTTTCGGTGGCATTTCTGTGGCAGAAGAGAGCACTGTTTAGAGCTTTGGATCAGAAGGAAGAGAAGAGAAGGTGGGTGGAGGAAGCAGGAAACAGAGAGGGGAAGAGGGGGCCGCCTCCAGGGGCTGCCTGAGGTTGTGTGTTGAGTTAATCCCACTCAGAATTACCAGAGAAGTTGGGGAGAGAGCTGGAGAAGACAGCTCATTCAGCATCTTGGGCTGGCTGGGCCTCTTTCCTAGAAACTAGACACAGTCGCCTTTGGACCAGAGGGGACCCCCACCCCCTAGACACCACCTGCTTTCCCCTGCCCTTCTGGAGCAACATCCCCTTTCCTCACCGCTGGGCGGCACAGCGGAGCTATCGTTCTGAGAGAGAGGCTCAAGAACAGGAGTTGTGCCCACTAAGCTTTGGTTTTATAGGGGCTTGGACGCCTGTCTTACATTTGGCTAAACAAGGTTTAAAGCATCAAGTGACTTCTCTGCGGGTCATCTAAAAGCTGCTGGCCCTCACACCCAGTGGCTGGTGTGTGTTGCCCGAGACCAGAAGACTAACAGCTAACACTGATGTGGAACTTGCTATGTGCCAGGCACGGGTTCTATTTTATTTTTTGTTGATGTATAGTAGATTTCTGATGTTGGTTTAGGTTCTGGTATACAGCAAAGTGATTCAGTTATACACATTATCAATATATATTCTTTTTCATATTCCTTTCCATTAGGGTTTATTACAGGATATCAAATAGAGTTCCCTGTGCTATACAGTAGGGCCTTTTTTTAAAAAAATCTATTTTATATACATAGTAGTTTGCATCTGCTAACTCCAAACTCCTAATTTAGCCCTCTCTGCTTTCCTCTTTAGTAACCGGAAGTTTGTTTTCTATGTCTGTGAGTTTAGTTTTATTTCATAGATAAATTCATTTGTATCATTTAACTTTATTTTTCCTTCCCCCCCCCGCCCCTTTTTTTCCCCCGCTACACACAACTTGCCGGATCCTACTTTCCTGACCAGGGAGTGAACCCAGGCCCTCAACAGTGAAAGCACTGAGCCCTAACCACTGGACCACAAGGCAATTCCCTGTATCTTTTTTTTCTTTTTTAGATTCTCCATACAAGCGATATGATGTCTGTCTTTTTTTTAACTTGCTTCAACTTAGTACGATCATGTCTAGGTCCATCCATGCTGCTGCAAATGGTGTTATGTCATTCCTTTTCATGGCTGACTAGTCCACGGTGTGTACACACTACAACTTCTTTATCCATTCATCTGTCAATGGACTCTTAGGTTGCTTCCATGCCTTGGCTGCTGTGGATAGCAAGCACTGTTTTGAATGGTTTGTGTATGCTGACCCGTTCAGTCTCCAAACGTCCCTGTCGGGCAGGCACTCCCAGGGCCCCCATCTCACAGAGCAGAGAGTGGAGCCCCTCCCTCTCAGGGTGAGGCCCACAGCCTGGCCGAGTGCCTCCACAAGTCATGCTCCTACTAACAGTTGACAAGCTCTCTGTGAAGGGCCAGACAGTAAAAATTTTAGGTTTTGTGGGCCATGCATTCTTGACTGCACCTACTGGACTCTGTCACGGTGTGTAAACATATTCACAGACAACACATGTGAATGTACATGGCTGGGTTCCAATAAAACTTTATTTACAAAAACAGGCATTGGGGACTTCCCTGGTGGTCCAGTGGCTAAGACTCTCTGCTCCCAAAGCAGGGGGCCTGGGTTCGATCCCTGGTCAGCAAACTAGATCCCACATACTGCAACTAAGAGTTCACATGTCAAAACTAAGACCTGACACAGCCAAATAAATAAATATATTTTAAAAAAACAGGCATTGGACTGGATTTGGCTCATGGTCCTAGCTTGCAGACCCTAGCTCTTCACTATGAATTAGTACTACCTCTCATGTACATAAAACCTCTCATTTTTATTTCCTCAGACCCATTTTAATCTCCATGAAATTCCACACAAATGACAACTATCATTAATAATATAAAACTTACAGTTTACAACACATCTGCTCTTCCCAGTACTTTTGTGAAGAGTGTTTTATCAATATCCCCATTTAGAAGAAGAGCAACATGAGGCTTCAGAGACAGCTGCCTACCCAGAGTCTCATGTTACAAAGTTGTTTGGTGTCTTCTACACTTGAACTCCAACTTGGAGAGACATGACCTCCTGGAGCTGCCCTTCCATCCTGATGTTTGCTTATCCTTTTCAAATGTCTTGTTTTTCCTTTCTCATATTCTATGCTGTGTTTTCTTGCTTGGGGAGCAAAGGAGAAGCACCCTTCTGGAGCTTCTAGAATCTAAACCCTAACCTTCCAGAAGCTTCTTGTTGAAAAATGTTCTTATACCATGTCTCTGGAAGCTGCAAGAATGGGCACTGCTTAAGTTTGACCACTGAGATTGCTAATGATTCTCACTCTAAGAACTGGCCAAACATGGCCATGAGCCATAACTTCACTAACATTCAGCCAGAGCTCTCTGCATGCTAGGTGATGAGCTAAGTAATTTTTATATGTTATCCTATGTAACTCTCAGACCCACTCGAGGTAGGTAGGTCTGGTTATTTCTATTATACAGATGAAGAAATGGAGACACAGAAAGTCAAATAACTTATGCTATGAGGATTAAGTGTCCTGTGTCCCTGCCTACTTAAAGAGGAGAGTTTGGTTTAGTTAGGTACCCATAGGCAGAGAACTGTGTCAGTCCTGGGCAGGAACATTAAAGTTTTCAATCAAGCTCAACCTGTCCTTACTCCTCCACCCTGTTTGAGGCCCATGAACATGCGAGTAGAGCAAAGGGGAGAGAATTTCCGCAGAGGCGGAAGTGGCTGTCCAGCCTTCCACCGCATTTCTCAGCTGGTTCTGCATTAAACCCTCCACTTTCTCAACAAGCTAAGCACCACGTGGAGGGCAACACTGTCTCTCTGCCCTGCCCCAGTGCCATCCATAGCCACTGTGCAAGCGTACTATCGCTTCACTCTCCAACATTCTCAGTGAGCAGTGGTCCTCACTCATCACCAAAGGCTAGAGGAACATCAATCACGCAGAGGGCTGCATCACTAGCCATTCTGGTCCAGAGGGGCAGATGTGCAATGGACCCAGCGGTCACGTGGCCGCAGCCGGGCTGTGCGCGCTCAGACCCCCGCTGCGTGGTAAGGTCCAGCTGGGTCTTTGCCAGAGATACAACTCCCAGAAGAGCTGGGCGCCAGGCCACCTTTCTGCCCAGTGGTGACTTCCAGCTGAAACTATAATAATCTCCTTTGTGTTTTCATCAGAACGTGAAAAAGACAGACTGGTTCCAGGAGTGGCCCGATGCCTACGAGAAGCACATCTACAGCTCCGACGACAGGAACGCGCAGCGCCACCTGAGCAGCTGGGCCATGCGCAACACCAACAACCACAACTCCCGCATCCTCAAGAAGTCCTGCCTGGGCGTGGTGGTGTGCGGCCGCGACTGCTCGGTCGCCGAGGGCCGCAAGGTCTACCTGAGGCCAGCCATCTGCGACAAGGCCCGGCAGAAGCAGCAGAGTGAGTGGCGCTCCCGCCCTGAGGGGCCTCAACGTTCTCCCTCCTCCCAAGGGCCTAGCCTCCTTGCTGGAGGGTGGAGGAGACCAAGGCTGTTTCTAGAGATCATTTTAAGGAGAGACAGCCAGTCCCCTGGGCCCCTGTATTCCCATAGATCTGCCATGCCTGGTGCACCCACCCCTAACACTGCTCCCTTGGGTTAAGATCTGACTCGGGGTCTCTGTTAAAAGGAGGATGCACCACTCAGGGGACAAACAGTAACTCATCGGCGCACTCACATATATGAATAGTGTAAGAGAAAGTTGTGCACCAGGCTTGCCCCCCGACACCTTGGGGAATGGGGTCCCCCAAATGATTTCAGTGAGTGCTTTGATCTGGAGGGGGGACCCGGGACTAAATCTGAGGTTAGACTCAATTCCGTGCCATTTAGGTTCAGGCCATCATCACATGCTAATTCTTCATTTTTTTTTTAATCATATTCATCAGATTGTGAAATAGATACATTCAGCATTCCCTGTGCATTGCCCACTTCGGATCTCAAATTACTTCACGTTCTTTTCTTGTCCTTTGTTTTCCAAACTTGCTCTCAGGGAAGGACGGCATCAGTCATTTACACTTTAGTGGAAATTTAGTAGCTGCATTCTCTCCGTCATGTGGTTTTGCTCCTTGATCCTTAGTTCAAATTGTGAAGTGAAAGGGTTTTTTTCCTCTTTACAAAGAATTTCAAGTATCGGTAAATAAGGAGAGAAGGATTTTTTTTTTTTTTTTTTTTGCTTAAAAGAGTTCCCCCCACCCCCGCCCGCCCCCGACCTGTAAAATATTCCACTCAGTAGGTAACTGCTTCCTCTACTGCATGTGAGAGTGACCTGGGCTGCTTTAGTGGTCTGGCCTCCTAGGCCCAGGAGTCATGCCCAGTGGATGAAAGCCTGTAAAACTGTGCCCAGGTGGACTCTGCTGTTCCGGAGTCAAGTCTGACACACGGGCAGAGCTGCACAGACCCGGGGATCTGCTGGCCAGGCTTGGCTGAGTGTGGTCACCTTCCTCTGCTCTTTTGTAGGGAAACGCTGCCCCAACTGCGATGGGCCCCTGAAGCTCATTCCCTGCCGGGGCCACGGGGGCTTTCCCGTCACCAACTTCTGGAGGCACGACGGACGCTTCATATTTTTCCAGGTTGGATTTACGTTAAAGATTCCATTTCTGTTTACTTCAGGAACTATTCACAGAGCACGAGGGAGACTTGCCTCCAGGAGAGGCATAGGTGGAGGGGAGCCTGCACCCTCCCTGGGGGAACCCTCTGGGCAAGCAAACGTCTGTGCCCTGAACCTCGAGAGAGGAGCCAAGAGTGGAGCCCAGGCTCCAAGGGGGTGACCGCTGTCGGTAACGTGGGCCCCCGTTCACTGGCCTTCCGCAGACCCAGCTCTGACTTTTCACCAGCTCTCTAAACATGGACACATTGCTTTATTCCCCTAAGCCCCAGTTTTCAGTAAAATATGGTATTAAGGGGTCCTCTCCAGGGAGGTGGCAGAAACAGTGGACTCTGAGAGCTGGACTGTCTGGATCTGAGTCCTTGCTAAACCTGCCTTGGAAAAGAAAATGCTCTGAATGTACAGGGTTTGCCAACTTCTGGAATATAACTGTTCTCATCATGGCTGATTTCAAGTTGGTTTTCTTTAAGCTAATTATTTTAGTATACATTTTTTCATAATACTTACATGATCATAAGGTTGAACACAGGGTTTCATGGCAAAAGCACATCAAAAATTAATATTGAAGGTAATAGAGAATGAAGATATTAAGCTTGACAGAAATTCTCTGGAAAGATCTCTTTGCTAGAACTGTGCAAGACGACCTGAAATTTTCTTTCCTTGCTTTCCTCTGTGTTCTTTCAGTATCTCCAACAAACATATTTTTTAAAATTTTAATTCTGTTGGAGTATAGTTGATTGGGGGTGGGGGGCTTCCCAGGTGGCGCTAGTGTTAGAGAAGCTGCCTGCCAATGCAGGAGACACAAGAGACACGGGTTTGATCCCTGGAGGAAGGTAACCTGGAGGAGGAAATGGCAACCCACTCCGGTATTCTTGCTTAGAAAATCCCATAGACAGAGAAGCCCAGTAGTCTATGGGGTCGCAAAGAGTCGGACATGACTGAGCACGCACACACACCCATAGTTGATTTACAGTGTTGTGTTAATTTCAGATGTACAGCAAAGTGTCAAGCCATTTTTAACAACCAGCTCACAAAATACCTGAATGGCCAACAGTTGGCTCTCTACCTGGCTGGCTCTGGCACACTCTGGATCCCAGTTCCCCCACTTTACTAGAGGAGGTTTCCCAGGTGGTAAATCTCTCCATGCCTCCATCTCCTCCTACTCTGTAAGCTGGGGGTGATGGTAATGGTGTGGCCCTCACAGCATTGCACTGAAGATTAAAGAATATGTGTAATCAGTGTTACTCATTATCACTATGAATGTGACTTGGCAGAGCTGGGGAGAGGAATGCAAAGAAGGAGTACCATCAGCAAAGGCCGGCGGGTGGGTGGGCTTCTTGTTCAGTCACTAAGTTGTGTCTGACTCTTTTCAACCCCATGGACTGCAGTATGCCAGGTTTCCCTGTCCCTCACTATTTCCCAGAGTTTGCTCAACCTCATGTCTATTGAATCGGTGATGCTACCCAACCCTGGGAGGGTCATGAAAGGTTACTCTGATCTTGTGACAACTGTCAACTGCAGCAGCACCCAGTCCAACAGCAGAGTACAGGATAAGACTTTACATACCATAAAGTACATCCAGTTGTTTATTTTGCTGCTTCTTCTCCTTTAAGTCAAAGGGAGAGCATGACCATCCAAAGCCAGAAACCAAATTGGAAGCTGAGGCCAGAAGAGCAGTGAAGAAAACGCACTCGGCATCTTCCTCAGTCTCCTCAAAGCTGAAACAGAGCCCAGACATAAAGGTAACCTTGCTGCATGCATCTCCAAAATATCTGGGGGCTTGCCATCCCTGTGGTGGCAGCAGTAGATTTCACTGTCATCACCTACAAATGAGGGCTTCCCACATGCCCGCTAGTGATAAAGAATCTGCCTGCTAATACAGGAGACCCAAGAGATACGGGTTCTACCCCTGGGTCAGGAAGATCCCCTGGAATAGGAAATGGCAACCCATTCCAGTATACCTGCTTGGAAAATTCCATGGACAGAAGAGCCTAGAAGGTGCAGTCCAGGGGGCTGCAAAGAGTCAGACACGACTGAGCACAAATTCCTAGGCAGAATTTATCTGTGATGGATTAAGCATGCTCTTAGCAGGTCTTTGAGCCTACAAAGGAGAGCCCCAAATCATATATATTCAGGCTCACCTATGAGCCAGGATCTGGCAAAGAAACTGTGGTTTTCCTCTTAATGTCTACCATCTTTGCAGCATGCTCTCAACCATAAAGTCCATATAACTTCAGAATCATCTTCCCTACTGTAGTTAAAAAGACACCTGAATTAGTACTTAACCTGTGTTTGGCACTCTCTGTATTTCTGCTGGAACCAAAAAGAAATGATCTGCATAAAATCTGAGCCTCATACTTCTTCATTCTCCCTCGAAGCCGATGATTTCCTTAGTGCACTTGACCAAGATGAAATGGCCAGGCAGTTTCTGAAAACAGTGGTCATCTGGGGATGTGGGGATGCCCACTTCTCCCCAAAGTCAAACTGTGCTGTGATGTTCCTGGCTTTCTGGCTGTCATAGTGTAGGTAGGGTTTGTCTGCTTAATAGCGTTTTACTAATTCCTATACTTTTTCCTGGGCTTCCTTGGTGCTGCTAGTGGTAAAGAACCCACCTGCTGATGCAGGAGACATAAGAGATGCGGATTCAATCCCTGGGTCAGGAAGATCCCCTGGAGGAGGGCATGGCAACTCATTCCAGTATTCTTGCCTGGAGAATCCCATGGACAGAGGAGCCTGGTGGGCTAGAGTCCATAAGGTCACAAAGAGTTGGACACAACTGAAGTGACTGAACAAGCATGCAGCATACTTTTTCTGCTGGTCAATGGTCCACATTTCAGGAGTACAGAAATTGAGCCAGTCCATCCTTGGAGGTTCTAATGTACCTTAAGGAAAAAAGTCATAACTTGAGCCATAATTTCAGGGAAATAGGAGCCCCTGAGTCCCAGCAACCGTGTCCGACTCTTTTGTGACCCCATGGACTATAGCCTGCCAGGCTCCTCTGTCCATGGGATTTTCCAGGCAAGAATACTAGAGTGGGTTACCATTTCTTTCTCCAGGAGATCTTCTCAACCCAGGGGTCAAACTTGGATCTCCTGCATTGGCAGGCAGATTCTTTACCACTGAGCCACCAGGAAAGCCCTATTAGTCAATAGTTCTACATAAACAAGAAGATAACTTAGTCCTCAAGCAGATTCTTTTCTTGTGATTAACTGGAGAATGATATACTTTCTCCATTTAGAAAAAAAGTTGACCACGTCATATGCCAGAGGTCTGTGATTCAACAAAGTGAGCTTGGAGTTTCTTGAGAAAAAAAAATAATAATCCCTTGGAATCCACTAAAAAGGAGAGAAGTCAAGGAGAAAGTTGAGATTCCCCTGAGGATAATGTAAAACTCTGAAGCTGTGGTTCAATTTTTCTTACATAGCCCCTCACAAGTTTCTCACAGAGGCAATTAGGGTTTCAGATTTGCATTTGAGGTGGAACGTTCTAAGCGTTCTCCTGTCTGAGTGAAAGAAGGGCCATGCATCCCTTCCTGATTGGTGAGATTTCGCGCTGAAATGGCAGCAGCCTTGAGTTCCTGCAGGCCTCGTGAGCTCACACAAAGCCCTGTGCGTGTTTGTGCTTCGAGCATGTAGGGAATGAGGAAAATGCACAGAGCACTTGCTTGTGCAGGGTCACTCGCGGGTGCCTGGGGTAGTAGGGTGAGTTTAACTAATTAACATGAGCTTCTGTCTTTCCAGCCTCTTCCAGGTGAAACGCAAAGTTGGGAAAGTTTAACTTGGTCTTTCCAGGAAGCTGTCCAGTTGCCTCCTAGTTACAGCGGACACGTGATAGGTTACACTCCCCAGCAGAAGGCATGGAATGATGGCTCGTCCTTCCCCGAGAGCTACGGTTTGGGGGGTACCTCTGAGCTGGCAAACCTCACTCCCACCCTGGGCCCCCCTCAGCTCTATGACAAATGGGACTTGTCCCACAGTCGGGTCTCCAGCAGCGGAGACCTGCTCCAGCCCTCCATCTCTGGAGTCTTCTCTGATTACAGTGATCTGCAGACATGGAATAAGAATGTGGCTTTGGGACGAAGTCCTCTGAATGACAACAGTTGTCCCAGTTACCCTTTTCCTCTGGCCAGCTGGCCCTACGACTTCTCCTCTTCCCAGAGCTCTTCAGAACCCTTCCACCAGCCGGTTCCAGTGGAACCACCAGCAGCCAAATCCAGCTATCCACCCATATGGCCAAATCAAGGGGGTGAACTTTATGAAGAGAAGGTGCCTGTGGATTTTAACAGCTACCACCCTCCCACCACATGCCATTCACCCCAGGAAGACCCCGTTCTCCTCACCCACACCTCTCAGCCTTATCATCAATATGCCCTGCCTGGCAAGAGCAACAAATGGGATTTTGATGAAGAAATGGGGTGCCTGGGTTTGGATCACTGCAACAATGAGATGCTTCTAAACCTCTGTCCTTTAAGATGATCCAAATCAGAGCCCTTATGCACTGCCGATGGGAGTGGCATTTGGTGCAGCCACTGTGGAAAACAGTATGGAGGTTCCTCAAAAGATTGAAAGTAGAACTATCTACCAGATGATCCAGTAATCCCACTCCTAGAGGAATAATAGAATGAAACCAAATCACTGTCCTGAAGAGACATCTGCACCACCATGTTCACTGCAGCATCATTTACAGTAGCCAAGACATGGAAACAAGCTAAGACAGGTGCATGGGTAAACAAAAAGTGGTGCATGTATATATATATAAATATATATAAATAAATATATATATATACATATATATGTGTGTATATATATATATATACCATTTAGCTGTAAAAAAGAAGGAAATCAATATGGATGGACCCTGAGGGCATTATGCTAAGTGAAATAAGCCAGAAAGAGAAAAACAAATATTGTTATGATCTCGCTTACATGTGGAATATTAAAAAACCCAAATTTATAAGAAATAGAGATCAGATTTGTGATTTTTAGAGGTGGAGGGTGAGGGGTGGGAAAACTGGGTGAAAGTGATCAAGAGGTAGAAACTTCCAGTTTTAATATAAATAAGTTCTGGAGATGTGAGGTACAACATGGTGACTATAGTTAACAAGACTGTACCATATATTTGAAAGTTAAGAGAATGGAGCTTAAAAAGTATCACAAGGCGGGGAAAATGTAACTGGTGATGAATATTAACCACTCTTAATGTGGTTAACATTTTGCAGTATATGCATGTATCAGGGCATTATGGTGTACACTTTAAACTTATACAATGTTATTTGTCAATTATATCAATAAAATTATATCTCAATAAAACTGGGGGAGAAAAATGGCTGAAATCTTTTATAGCCATTTAAAAAACTGGAGGGGATAGCTAAAAGAATTTCTGTAGGAAGTAGTTTTCAAAAGGCAACCACAGATAAGTCAGAATCATGATGGCAAGCAGAAGGCAAGACTTCTTTCTTAATGTGAGTAATATCTTGGCCTGTCCTCCTCCACTCTAGTACTATAGGAGTATTAAAGGAGTCCTCAGGAGTACTGGGGTACTAAGGGAGTCCTCAGGAGTACTAGAGTAGTCTTCAGGAGTACTAAAGTATCAGCGGAGTCCTCAGGAGTACTAGAGTAGTCTTCGGGAGTACTAAAGTATCAGCAGAGTCCTCAGGAGTACTAGAGCAGTCCTCGGGAGTACTAAAGTATCAGGGGAGTCCTCAGGAGTACTAGAGTAGTCTTTGGGAGTGCTAAAGTATTAGGGGAGCCCTCAGGAGTACTTGAGTAGTCTTCGGGAGTACTAAAGTATTAGCGGAGTCCTCAGGAGTATTAGAGTGCTCCACAGTGAGGACTGAAAACTTGTTCAACCTGAGGCAGGCACTTTCCTCTGCTCTTTTTTCCCCCACAATATTTGGGAATCTCAGCACCTAAGCTGCATTATCTGTTCCATTTTCATTGTCCTTTAGATGACCTCAAACTGAGCAGATATGAAAAGTCAACCACCCAAGATCTCAGCTAAGCCTTCTTGGAAACAGAACAAAGGACCAGAGAGAATGAAAGAGCTTCAGAGGTGCAGAAAGACGAAGATGCTACCACTGAAGTAGTTAGCACTTTGTCTAGTCTGAAATATACAGGGTTGGTTTATAAGATGTGTCCCCTAGTTGATTTCCAAGGCTCATCAAGACAAGGGATAAAGACCCAACCCTATCTCCTAAAGACAAAGAGCTCAAAATTAAATGTCTGCATGAAGAGACATTCGAGGGGCACCAAACAGACTCCTTTCCTTCCTCCTCTCCTCCCTGTCTTCCCCTTCCACGAGGGCTCCAGTTTTGTCCCATTTACCTTTATTTTTACAGTGTTGAACAGCACAGTTTCCAAATATGTGCTTGAAAATGTTTGCTTAGAAGAGTCCTTGTATATTTAACATGGCCATGTTCAGGCAGTTTATTTGAATGCCAGTTCCTTTTTTTGCTAAAGTACTTCACAATAAAGGTGCGCCCACACATAAAATCAGGAAAGAACCATGCAATCAGCGAATATTTGCAAAATGAATGCTCTTTTCTATTTGAATAGTAACAAATGCATGTGATAAAAAATTGGACTCCTAATGTCCTTCTTAAGGCAACGTGGACTCTTTTCTTCTCTGCCTTCCAAAGATTAGAGATCTTCTCTGCTTGCAGTCATCCTCCCTTATCTGTGGTGTGGGGTGTGTTCCAAAACCCCCAATGGATGCCTGAAATCACAGAGAGTACTAAACCCTATATATACTAAGTTTTTCCTATACATATATGCCTATGGAGGTTTAGTCACTGAGTCGTGTCTGACTCTTGTGAGCCCATGGACTGTAGTCTGCTAGGCTCCTCTATCCATGGGATTTCCCAGGCAAGAATACCGGAATGGGTTGCCATTTTCTACTCCAGGGGATCTTCCTGACCCAGGGAATGAATTTGGATCTCCTGCGTTGCAAGTGGATTCTTAACCAACTGAGCTACCAGGGAAGCCCATACATACCTATGGCAAAACTTAAATCATAAATTAGGTTCGGTAAGATAATATCTGAATTGCTGGCATCATTATTATTATACTTTGGGACCATTATTAAGTAAAATATGGGTTATTTGAACACAAGGACGGTGATACCGTTAACAGTTGATCTGATAACCAACATGGCCACCAAGTTACTAACGGGTGGGTAGCATATACAGTGTGGAGGCCCTGGACGGAGGGGTGATTCACATCCTGGCTGAGAAGCCAGAAGGATCATCATATTGTTGTGTGTAGCTGTACTTTGTTATTTTCATTTCTGCATTAAATTTATTTATTCGCACCTAAAATGCCTTTCCTCCATGCTCTAAGACAGGTGTCTCTGCTCGCTAAACATTTTGGCTCAAACTTCTAGGAAGAAGTGTCTTGAAATTCACCACTACTTGGAGAGCGCCAGGAGCTTGCAGCCCCCTCTCCTGCGTGGTCCTTGAGTGTAAAAAACCAATTAGAGACCTGTAACCATTGGATCCAAGGGTTGGAACAAAGTTTAAAGATTGCTTGTACAAGTATCTGAACAGACATGAATCTACTTGGTAACTTCTTAAATAGAAACTTATCCAGCCTGTGTTTATATCTTTGCAGAGAAGAGACATTCTTTCCTTTAGAGCACAATCAGAATCACAATTTCATCAGGTGCTTTGAATTCAGGTCATTTCAAGGATGCCTTACTATTCCCTGAGGACAAGGACTAGGTCTTCAGTTGAAAAATATTACAAGCCTACTATATACACGCAGGTAGCGAGACATCTGAATCTGTGTAACTCACAAAAGCAAGAGGAGATCCTGAATGCTAGTCCTTACTACAAAGATGCAGTGGTCAAAATAACCTAACACAGGCACTGACCGCAACACATGGAATTTCAAACTTTTGCACATAATCCAAAGTACATTTTAGACTGGGGACTGTTTGGCAGCCACAGCTATCACAAAGACAGGCCTTTTAAATTAGGCTCCACTGAATATTCAAAAGGCAAAAAAGAAAAGACAGGCTTAGGGTAGAGCAGGCTATGTATGGGGTGAGACCATGGGCGTGGTGGACACTCTTGGGTCTGGGAGGCTGCCCCTGTACCTCAAGAAATTGTCAAGGAACAGCCCCTACCTGGGTGGGAACTTTAGTTTTTGTTTAGTCCAAGGCTTTCTGGGTATTTCAGATATTTCACATCTGCCAAACTAGGCACACTGCCCATCCCCGCCCCCAAACCTCACCTCTAGAAAATGACAATCTTGACATTTAGCAAAACAAGAACAGAGCCTGAAATATCAGACAGGACCAAAACACCTTTTACAAATCACAGCCATCCCTCCCCTCCCCTCCCCACCCCAATCCCAAGTCCTTTTTCCGTGCTTCACTTTTTAGTTTTCTCTTGTGGTGGTGGCTTAGTCGCTAAGGTGTCTGACTGTTGCAATCTAATGGACTGTAGCCTATCAGACTCCTCTGTCCGTGGGATTCTCCAGGCAAGAATACTAGAGTGGGTTGCCATTTCCTTCTCCAGGGGATCTTGCCGACCCAGGAATCGAACCTGGATCTCCTGCATTGCAGGGAGGTGGTTTACCAACTGAGCTATGAGGGAAGCCCCATAGCTTTTAGTTTTTTAAATGATGGCATTTGGTTTAGGTGTTGGTTTAAGTGGCCTTGACTCCAGACAATGTTTTATCAGCCGTTGCTTTCTTTTGTCAAGCAGCCCTACCAGTAGAGGTCAAAGGTAAACTGGACCTGGACATCGGGGCTTGGTTGAAAGATGACTGTCTTGGTGGCCAATTGGGTACCTCCAAGCTCATGGCATGAGTGAGATGGGGAGACTCTTCAGGAGTGGATGAGGGAGACAGAGATCAGACTTGTGATTGCCAAGGAAGAGGGAGAGGGATGAACTGGGTGTTTGAGATTGGTAAACGCAAACTATTACATTTAGAGTGGATAAACAGCAAGGTCCTACTGTATAGCACAGGGAACTATATTTAATCTCCTGGAATGAAACATATTGGAAAAGAATGTTTTTAAAGAACAATATATATGTGTGTGTTTGAGGCACTTTGCTGTACAATGAAGATTGGCACAACATTGTAAATCAACTATGAACGTGAAAGTGTTAGTAGCTCAGTCATGTCTGACTCTTTGGCACCCCTGGACTGTAGCCCACCAGGCTCCTCTGTCCATGGGTTTTCCCAGGCAAGAATACTGGGGTTGGGTAGCCATCCCCAGGGATCGAACCCAGGTCTCCTGCATTGGCAGGTGACTGAGCTACTATAATTTCAATTAAAAGAGTGGGTGAGGGGGAGGGTTAGAGGAGACGGAATGGAGGATAAATAATTGCATGTGGGATTGAGGAACAGAGGAGGGAATAAATTTTAAAACCAGAACCAACTCTCAAATTTTCATTCTATTGTTCAAAATAGAAAGACTCATCATCCACATTTTGACCAGAATCCCTCCCTCAAATTGAGAGCATTGT